GGGGGGGGGGAAGAGTGGAACGTTAAATGACAGAATATATATCAATTATATGGTTAGGAGAGAAAACCCTGCAGCCATTGTTATCCTTCTCCACAAATAGCAAAGGTAGAATAATGTATATAAATGGGAAATCCTATATCTTCGTGCAATTCATAAATAGCCTTGGCTTAAGGTATTTGAAGTAAAGTGATAATTCTTGAGCAAGTGGCTGAATTTAACAAAAGCTATCTAGAACCTTGGAATCCTAGTGGACGATCACTTGACCATGAGCCAGCCATGTGCAGCAGCAGCCAAAAAAGCTAACACAATCCTGGGTTGTATAAACAGAGGCATAGAATCAAGCTCATGCGAGGTATTAGTACCGCTTTACAAAGCCCTAGTAAGACCACACCTGGAACACTGGAGCCAATTTTGGTCACCATATCACAAAAAAGATGTTGAGAGTTTGGAAAAAATTCAGAGAAGAGCAACAAAGATGATCAAAGGCCTGGAGGCTAAAACATACGAAGAATGGCTGCAGGACTTGGGTTTGGCTAGTCTAAGGAAAATAAGAAATAGGGGAGACATGATAACAGTGTTCCAGTATCTGAGGGGCTGCCACAAAGAAGAGGGGGTCACGTTATTTTCCAAAGCACCAGAGGGAAGGACGAGAAACAATGGTTGGAAACTGATCAAGGAGAGAAGAAACCTGGAATTAAGGAGAAACTTCCTGACAGTGAGGACAATTAACCAGTGGAACAGCTTACCCCCAGAAACCGTGGGAGATTTTTAAGAAGAAACTAGACAATCACCTGTCTGAGATGGTGTAGGTTCTTCTGCTTGAGCAGGGGGCTGGACTAGAAGACCTCCAGGGTCCCTTCCAGCTCTATTCTATTCTATTCTATTCTATTCTATTCTATTCTATTCTATTCTATTCTATTTCTATTTCTATTTCTATTTCTATTTCTATTCTATTCTAAATTGTTTCATTGTTCAATCACACTATTTTGAAAGCGGTCCAGGAATAACAATAAGAACGATGAATGGATCCAACTTGTCTTTGCGTCCGTCTTTTTTTTTAAATTGTCTTTCACGCTTCCTTGCAAAAGCAGCCATCTTTATTTACAGGAAGTTGCTTAACATCCATCTTTGACCGGCAAGCAGTACGACTATGAGGTAACCACCTCAAACATGCTAACAAAGCGGCCGATAAAATAAAATATGACAGCAGACTCTCGACATCCATTTTATGGATGGTAAATTAATGTTTAATGGCATCTATTAAGAACATCGACGTTTCCTAAGGTAACTTCGATCTACGCCGATCTTGTTGCCGACTTGGACACAAGAACCTGACTGAGGCTCTTCATCTACTTCTATTAGCTTTTTTATTCAGTTTTTCTAATTTTATCTATTTTTACAAGCGCTTGTTTTTTTTAAAAAACTTCTTACTATATTGTAAGCCACCCGGAGTCACTGGATCAGTGAGACCGGTGGCACAGAACATTTAATAAGTAAGTAAGTAAGTAAGTAAGTAAGTAAGTAAGTAAGTAAGTAAGTAAGTAAGTAAGTAAGTAAGTAAGTAGGTAAGTAAGTAAGTAAGTAAGTAAGTAAGTAAGTAAGTAAGTAAGTAAGTAAACAAATTAATTTGTTTATTTATTTAAGATATCTGGCTTTCAACTTCCCCCACTATTCATGGTTGTCAAACATTTAACATTACCCAGCACTGCAAAGATTAAATTTTGCGCATGCAGCCCTTAGTGTCATCCAGTTGACTAATTATGAATGGATGGATGGACAGATCTGTCTGTCTGTCTGTCTGTCTGTCTGTCTGTCTGTCTGTCTATCTATCTATCTATCTCTATCTATCTCTCTATATCTGTTTTTCTATCTCTCTATCTATATCTGTATCTATCTACAGTATCTGCATATCTATATCTATCTGTCTATGTATCTATCCATCCATACATCCATCTGTCTATCTCTCTCTCTTTCTTTCTCTCTCTCTCTCTCTCTCTCTCTCTCTCTCTCTTTCTATTGGTATCTCTGTCTGTCTGTCTGTCTATCTATATCTGTCTGTCTTTATCTCTCTATCTCTCTTTCTCTCTGTCTGTCTCTCTATCTGTATATCTACTGTAAGGAGAAAATTCCTGACAGTGAGGACAATTAACCAGTGGAACACCTTGCCTCCAGAAATCGTGGGTGGATTTTAAGAAAAGACTGGGCAGCCACCTGTCTGAAATGGAATCTCCTGCTTGAGTGGGGGGTTGGAGTAGTACAGTGGTGGCGAACCTATGGCACATGTGCCAGAGGCGGCACTCAGAGCCCTCTCTGTGGGCACACGCACCATGCCCCGGAGATGGCAACCGTCCCTCTTCAACCAGCCGCCTGCTAACTCGCCGAGGTCCCACGTGGCTGGATGCATCCCAGCACCCATGCGCTCGCTGGCCTCTGTGTGCAGGGGCCGATGGTGTCAGCCAGCAGCCGCCCCGGCCCCTGCCTCGCCTTGCCCTGTGACAATGGCACCCCCGCCCTGCCTCGCCTTGCCTCACCTCTCCCCACAGGACGAGCCTCCTGCCCACAGCCCCATCTGCCAGAGACCCCCTGGATCTCCCTCAACCCTGCCCGGCCCCCACAGGCGTCCCTCCCCACGAGCAACATTGAGGTGATCACGCCCACCTTGGCCACACCCACCCAGTCTGCCATGACCACCACAGCCATGCCCACCCAGTGGACCACGCCCACCTGGCACCCGGCGATAAATAAGTAGGTTTTGGGTTGCAGTTTGGGCACTCGGTCTCTAAAAAATTCGCCATCAACGGACTAGAAGATCTTCAAGGTTCCTTCCAGCTCTATTCTGATTGATATTGACGTGTAAAATTGTAAAATGTGTATGTGCTGTATGTATTACCTGTACTTAAGACAAAGTTTTGGTCTCTGGTCTTGGTTGATGTGGGGACCCTTAACTGTCTTAGTCCGGGTTTTCTTTGGGTTAGCATGTTTTTGAACTGCTGTCATTGTTTTGTATTTGTGTCGGTAAGCGGCCCAGAATCTATAGGAATGGGAGGCAGTCATAAATTTAAACAAACAAAGAAACAAACAAATATTCCGCGTCTGTTTTCAAAAGGGAGGCTTACCATGGAGAGGGGAGCCAGACGGGCTGCTGGAAAGCCCTGGCACGGGACTGCAGCGCCCTCCTTGTTTGGTGGTCAGCTCTTGCTCGATCTCCTCCAGCCCGGCGCTCTTCTGGAAGCGACTCATGCGGTTGACCACCCGGGGTGACATGTGAGTCCGAACGCAGGGCTGCCCTCCGTAGGGATTGATGGGGAAGACGTGGGAAGTGCCCCGGAGGGTGCTGACGGCCACCCAGCGGCAGTCGTGGCTGAAGGCGATGTCCTGCACCTGGAGAGGGAACAGGGGTGGGACGTCAAGGGGTGCAGCTACAAAGGCGAAGGCACATCAAGAAAGCAGAATATTCGTAGCCCAGGGTTGAAATGAGGGGTCCTTGGGGGGGCTCTGAGCTTGGCTGTTGTTGTTTTTTGCAGACGTTTCATTACCCAGCTAGGTAACATCAGTGCTAGAAGGGAGGGGGTTTGTGAAGTGGAGGAGGAGGAGGAGGAGCAGGAGGAGGAGCAGGAGGAGGAGGAACAGGAGGAGGACGACAACGACAACTGCAGGATCCTTGGTGCTTTCTAACCTTGATTGTTTTCTTGCAGACATTTCATTACCCAACTAGTTAACATCATCAGTGCTAGAAGGGAGTGGGGTTTGGGAGGAGGAGGAGGACAAGGACAACTGTGGGGTCCTTGGGGCTCTCTGAGCTTGGTGGTTTTCTTGCAGACGTTTCATTACCCAATTAGGTAACATCATCAGTGCTAGAATCCACTCCACATCAGCGCACCCACTTCCTCGCTAGCCTGCTTCTCACAAAACGTTTATGCAGGTTACAAGGAGTTCTCGACTTACAACCACAAATGGGACCGGAATTTCTGTTGCAAGGCGGTTGTTGTTAAATGAGCCATGTCCAATTTCAGGACCTTTTTTATTTTTTGCCATGTTTGTTAGGCGAATGACTGCAGTTGTTAAGTGAATTGTGCAGCCGTTAAGCCAGGGATCCCCAACCTTAGCAACTTTAAGACCTGTGGACTTCAACTCCCAGAATTCCTCAGCCAGCGTGCCTCACTGAGGAATTCTGGGAGTTGAAGTCCACAAGTCATAAAATGGCCAAGTTTGAAGATCCCTGCCCTAAACGATGACCTTCCCAGCCATCCCCCCCCCAGATGTCCACATAGCTCCTGTCAACAAGTTCTCTTTGTTATGGGAACCGTCTGCTATCTTCTTCACACCTGCTAAAATGTCCTTGAAAGGTTTCCATGCTGCCGACTTTCAGTAAGCTTCTGTAGAACTGGAGAGGTTTCGTTTCTCTAACTAACCCATTCAAAGAAGAACTTCTCTCCCCCCACCCTATTCTAATGGCAAGATGAAAACAGAGAGGCGCATAGCTGTCAGATTTTCCCTCCTGACAATAAATCCTTGTGAAAGTTATCCTTGAACATATGGAGCCAATGGCTGTTGAAATTTCCAAAGCCAGACTGGAGTTGCAGGAATACAGCATCAATACTCTTATTCCTTTATTCCTGGGTAGAAAAATACAGGGGTGGGAGGAACAAGGATCTCTTTTTTTTTAATTAATTAAGAGCAGAAAGGGGTCAAAAGTTAGGGTTTAAACTTTAGGGTCAAAAGTTTTATTAACGCAAGGCCAGGTTTGCGGGGAATTTTAATTCCGACTCCAGCAATCCGATAGCTTTAGAAGGGCTTAAAAAATGCTTTCCAGCTCAATCAAGAGCCCAACTCAATAAAGCACATGGTTGTCGCAGCAACACAAATTGCCGCAAACACACACACACACACACACACACACACACACACACACAAAACCCGCAGGAGCCTGCTGTAATTTTTTAATTGAATTTGGCTCCGGGTGCTGGTTTTTACAGCAGGCCAGCTCCAGTATTAGCTTGCTTGCTCGTTTTTCATCCTGAGAAAACATGAAAAATGAGAGGTAAACAATCGCCAGCCAAAACAACCAATCTCTCCCTAAAGTTTTGGATGTGGTCAGAAATTAAACGGGAGGGGGGCTTCCCTCTTCCCAAAAAAGAGGAAGGGCTTTGAACTGGGTTTTGGGGGTTGTTGTTTTTTTTTCCTGAATGAAGTTGCACAAAAACGTGCAGATCGTTCCCGGCCAATTGTCTGGGGAAAAAAAAAGAAGGTTTCTAGAGGTCCCAATTTGGGAAGCCATAACTTGATTTGGAAAATGTGGCATTCGGAAAATAGCGAAGGGATGATGAAGTCTTAAGTCTCCCTCCGTGAACCCACGTATGCTGCTGGATCCAGTGCCTGTCTGACTCAAACAATGCAAGACATCGGTATCCTGAAAGCACTGGGTGATACTAGAGGTTGCCTCCATCTCCACTCTGGAAAGAGGGCAGAGAAGAGCAGCAAAGGTGATCGGGGGACTGGAGGCTAAAACATACAAGGAAACGGTTGCAGGAATTGGGTATGTCTAATTTAATGAAGAGAAGGACGAGGGGGGACATGATAGCAGTGTTCCAATATCTCAGGGGCTGCCACAAAGAAGAGGGAGTGAAGCTATTCTCCAAAGTGCCTGAAGGCACTTGAAAAAGCCACCAATGGGATCCTGCATTGGTGGTTTCACGACAGGAGCAGCAAAGAATTCGGCACTGGTAAGGCCACACTATACTGCATTCAGTTCTGTTCACCAAGATACAAATATATATAGCAACAAAGATGATCAGGGGACTGGAGGCTAAAACATATAAGGAACGGTTGCTGGAATTGGGTCTGTCTAGTCCAGGTGTAGGCAACCTTGGCTCTTTTATGACTCGTGGACTTCAACTCCTAGAATTCCTGAGCCAGCATGGCTGGCTTAGGAATACTGGGAGTTGAAGTCCAAGAGTCATAAAAGACCCAAGGTTGCCTACACCTGGTCCAGTCTAATGAAGAGAAGGACGAGGGGGGACATGATAGCAGTCTTCCGATATCTCAAGGGCTGCCACAAAGAAAAGGGAGTCAATCGATTCTCCAAAGTGCCTGAAGGCAGGACAAGAAGCAACGGATGGAAACTAATCCAGGAGAGAAGCAACGTAGAAATAAGGAAAAATTTCCCGACAGGATCAAACTCCTGGCTGTGGGAAGAGTCAGCCTGCAATACTGCATGCTAACCACTAGAGCTCCCAAAGGCATAATACTGGAACTATCACTTCATGTAGAACAGACATGTCAAACACAAGGCCCAGGGGCCGGATGCGGCCCACAATGTGGTTTCATGTGGCCCGCGAAGCCATTCTGGAAACAGTGAGGGAATGGCCCCAGACCGGCCAGGAGCCAATGTACAATTTTGTGGTGGCCATCTATGCTGAAACGCATTATTATTTATTACTATTATTATTACTTTAATTTATACCCCGCCCTTCTCCCGAAGGACTCAGGGCGGCATTCAGTCTTAGCTCCACAAGGCCATCTGGAAACAGCGAGGAACCGGCCCCTGGGCGCACGCTGGGGAGGTGTCACCCTTTGTGAGGAATGAAGAAATGCACCATCACCTGGAAGTGGCCAGCAAATGGCCCTCGCCTTCTGCCAGAGACCCTCAGATCTGTCCCACTCCTGCCCAGGCCCCCACAGGCACCCTTGATGCGAACTATGAAGAGCTGGCCATGCCCACCCAGTAGGCCACACCCGCTCCAGCCACACCCACCCAGTAGGACACGCCCACCCTGGCCACACATACCCCCCCCGAGGACAACAGCAATGCTGATGCGGCCCTCAATGAAATTGAGTTTGACACTCCTGATGTAGAAAGACAGGAAGAGACTGGGGGCCGAGTCAAGAGAGGAATCAGCCTGGAGTCGTTACATTCCTACAAATGGTCTAAATCAGTGGCCCCCTTTTGGACACCAGGGATAAGTTCTGTGGAGAGAGGTTCTTCCACGGACGGGAGGAGGCGTGGTTTTCGTGTGCTGCCTGTATCCCGCGGATGGGACTTCACTTGTTTGCGCACAGACGGGGGCCGGTTCACGGACCAGGGGTTGGGGACCCCTGGCCTTAGTTCAACCCCTCTTCAATTCCGTTGACTCTTATCTACCGCCAGTTTGGTGCCGACCATTGGTTGACTAGATTCTTCTGTACAAGTAGTCCTTGACCTACAACCATTCGTTTAGCGACCATTTGAACACCAATAGAAGGTCGACTTATATATAGCCCCATAGCGCTTTACAGCACAATCTGAGCGCTTGACAAGGTCAGCCTATTTGCCCCCGACAATCTGAGTCCTCATTTTAACCGACCTCGAAAGGACGGAAGGCTGAGTCAACCCTGAGCCGGTCAGGATCGAACTCCTGGCGGTGGGCAGAGCCAGCCTGCAGCGCTGCATTCACCAGGGCTGACAAGAAAACCAGTGCAAAACACAGACACACACACACCCCAGATCAAAAGGGGGTAGGAAGGAAAAGCTGGAACCATAAAAGCCAAGAAAATCAACTCGTTCGGCATTTGGCAATCCCGCAGGTCAAGGATACTGAATCTCTCTCTCTCTCCGTGTGAGGGGAAAAATCGGGCAAGTGCCAGAGCAACTTTCTGGAAAAGAAAGTACGTTGTCGGAAAATACTTATGATATTTTTAATTTAAGGGTCCTAGGATATCAAGGAGCCTTCTGGGTAGACAAGGAGGCAGTGGGGACACCGTTAACACTGCCACCAGCAGTTATGGCTTTTCCACAGCGGGTTATTTAGGAGGAAAGGGCATCCAGCCCCTGACAGAAGCCAACTGGGCTGCTTCTCTTGACGATAAGTGAGCCCAGGATGGCTTTGCCAAGCCAAAATAGCGCGTCAATTCTACAGGCTCTGAAGCCCTGCCACACCACCAAAGGAATTAGGAATACAAATATGTACTTATATTCAGAATTTATATTTGTATGTATGTGTGTCTGTGTGTAGCATGTGTGTGTGTATACATATACATGTACATATACATCTATAGACATACACACACACACATATACATAGTATATATATATACTATAGAATACACCAGTGGTGGCGAACCTATGGCATGGGTGCCAGAGGCGGCACTTGGAGCCCTCTGTGGGCACACGTGCCGTTGCCCCAGCCTCGCCTCCCTCCGCGACCCCCTCCTCTCCAGCAGCCCCCCTGAAGAGAGTCGCCCCACGCAGAGCAGTGTAGCCAAGGACATGGCAGCCAGGCAGCATAGACAAAACTCTGCCCTCATGCCCCATCGTGCACAGTTGATGCTGCGGGGCGCGGGTAGAGGGTGTGACCGCCATAGCGCTGCTGGGCTGCCTGGGCAATCTGCGGCGGGCCCTGGGG